AACTGAATTTTCCTTTGCAAGTTAAGGAAAGATTTAGTTGGCATCGGGAAAGAAATCATCGTGACTATGCAGAGGTGCGGTAAGTCAGTTCTTACGTGCTCCCAGATTGAATTTCTACACTGTAAATTAGGAATGACTTGCCCAAAATCACAGAAGTTAATTTCTATGTGTCAGCGAGTCACACTTCACCAGCAGCTATCCCTTATGATACAGGTAGGGCGCATAAAGTATCTGTAAGTGTGGACCCCACGTGCATGTGTCATGGGTAGAAACCAGCAGGGCCCTGTTGAACACCTCATGCTCTAGCCTTGCAGGAGCAGTGCACTGTGGGAAGGCTCCCAGCAGCTGACTGCAGGTGTAAGCTGAGGCCCTTGCCCTGAGCCCACACCACAACCCACAGTAGTCTGAAACAAGGAAAGAGCCACAGGGATTCCCTCAGCATTTTCCCCACTGTACACGCACTGCCCAAAAGCGCAGAGGCTTTGTCCACAGAGACACTGTAAGGGATGGATCCATGCTCTCCCTTTCCCCTTATTGAGTGGTTCTAAAACGTATTTCCCTGTTTTCCTCAAAAACTCCGACAGGATCAAATAACTGCTGGCGGTGGTGATCTCATCAGTAACTCGACTTTGTTCGGACCCCTTCTTTCATTCCTGGTTTCACTCCCACCGTGTAAGTCACAGTCTTATTTGAGGAACCTCAAGACTATGTGCGCTAGCATTTTCCAAAAGAGAAGTGGGTTACGTATGATTCCAGTCTGAGAAAAGCTGCCTGCCTGTGAATAATCTCAGCGTTTGCATTTCTAGTCACCCCCAGCTATTGGTACGCTTGAGGCCCCCTGGGACTCACACTCACTGGTAACAAGCGCAGGGTCATGGTTCTGGTATGAAATCCAGCCTCTCCAGACCTTCTTAATTTGGGGCCCTATTTCTCTCTAATTTACAAACTTTAGTTTAAACCTTCCAACCACGGTTCGTTCCTCGAGGATGTTCAAAGGTGTCTCCTTCATTTTCACTGCCACAACCCTGTAGTGATGTAAACTACCTGGGAACTGTAATTGAAGTGCACAACCCACTTTTAACCCTCTCACTAGATGTACAGATTTTCTTCATCGCCCCTGTAAATATACTCTCAGTTCAGGTTCCCAGTAAAGGAGCCAGTCGTGGGGATTATGAAGCAATTGGGTCACTGAGAAGAAACATTCAAGAGAAAGCTGTCAAGAAATGAGGAGGTAATGCAGAGAAAGAAAAAAAGCCTAGGAAAGATGGGCTTGGTTAAAATCTGGTTTCCAGGGGCCAGGGATATAGCTCAGTGGCACAGCGCCTGCCTGGCAAGTACAAGATAGTGAGTTCAATTCTTGATACAAAAAAAAAAAAATCTGGTTTCCACTATTAGTGCAGAGAGCACCAGAGCCTGAGTGGCATCACAGCCTTGTTCATTCTTTCATTAAGGGTCTCTCTGTATTGTCACATGAGTCAGTCACTGGTCATTGTCACACCCAGGTGGGATGGGCTTCCAGGGCTTCTCAGAGTAAGTGCAAGTCTCCAGAAAAGAGTGCGTCCCTAAGCTACTAGCAACCAATACTCACAGAAACTTGGGTTTGGGTTTACCTTTCATAAATGAGGTCTAAGAAAGACATGAGCAGAGGCCACTGCTCCTGTTTACACCTGTCCGTTGACATAGCTAACAGTATACAGGGTCTCACCAGGAAGTAGCAAGCACCTTAATTTTTTTTTAAATAAAGAAGCAATTAATTAAAATCAAATAAAATAGAACCTTAATAAATAAATCAACTCGAGAAGATTGGCCACATGAGTGGCAGCTGAAAAGCAATAGGAGTGAGACCACCCAGTGATCAACCGTAACCAACAGGAAGCTGCCCCAGTCCATAGGACTGGAGAGCCAATGGAAGCAGAGAGTGTAAACAACTCAGGGCTGCCTGTAGGCTGCTGGAACCACCGAAGAGAGAAGAAATAACTTCTGCCAAGACACCTCAAGAAGTAACGACAGAGAGAAGGACCTGGCTTCTCCCCTGCCTCAAGACCTCCAGACTTCTGCCTGTGACTCCAGTTGGCCAAAAGTCTACAGAAACCAGAGAGGAAAAAGGTCATTGGTCACACCAATGTCCGGGACGTGTGCCTCCTGCAATACACAGCACAGAAGGGAAGGGGAGCGCAAACACAGGCAAATTGGCAAATACACGACCACCATGCTGTAGCAAGCTGAATTGCAAGCTGACCAAACAGCTGGATTGCATCCACTTTTCACCGCTCTTATACAGAATGAGCTAGCTTGGGAATACACATATTTTTTAGATTAAAATAGAAGTAATCAAATTTATGCCACATCCCACTTAATACAATCAAATTTAAATGTACCATGTGTTGTTTCTCTGGCTCACTTCCTAGTTGTCAAACTGTGAAAAATACTGACCTTGAAAGTTACACTCCTCCTGATACCCATTCCCAGCCCCAAATTAGAACTAGGCAAAGGGAAAGAAAAGATTGGAGGCTTTTGAAGACAGCGTTAGGAACTGAATCCATTGTATTCACCGTTTTGCCATAGGTTGACTTGACAGAATACTTCCCTCCTTTGAATTTCCATTGTTTCCCCCATAAATCTGAGTAAATAATATTCAGTATTTGATTTTTTTGAAATGTTAGCCATCATTTTAAATGTTTTGCCAAGCACTAAATAACATAATTAATCATAGGTCCAAACTCAGTGGGCATATTCAGATGTGCCTTTATTATTTGTCAATTTGATCAGCATTTGGGGTGACTCTAGAGGCAGTTTACACAAAGGCCATTCCAAGGGGCTCACCAAAGTGATTCTAGGCTTATTAGGAAATAAAAAGACAAGCCTCCCAGGTGTTGTTCTCTGCTACTTGCAAATCATACAATTGGGGAAGAAAACATCAATCACAGGTTTGCAATGAGTGGAATAATTTTCGTAGTACATACACGCTACATGCACACAATAACCCTTCGTTTTCATTTAGTAAAGGGAGGACAATGAGCAATAGAACTATATAAGTATTCTCATCTCTACATGGCTTTAAAACAATCTGCAAGGTCATAAGATACAACCCTCTGCCAATTTCCTAGTACATTTTCATAGATGGTAGCAGCCTATCTAAGAAACAGCATTTTTGTGAAGGTATATTAATAACTACCTAAACTTCATTTGGGCCAGAAGTGATGACTGAATATACCTCTTCAATGTCACATTTAAAAAGCTGCTGTTCTCAAGAAGGAATTTATACACTTGAGCAAATGACACTGAGTCAAATATAATGCTAAGTACTTACGTCTTCCCCAAACTCAAATTTTAAATGGTCTCTTGAGCTTTCAAATCAGTTTTGAGACGCACTAGAAGGGCATTCAGTTCTATATCTGCTGAGATGAGAAATCAAATCTATAATCATAACAAACAAGCAAATTCATTCTCCCTGCCAATATGAATGTGGGGTACAGTTCATTTTCAGTGATTCACAACTTCTGAGAATCAGAATTCAGATCAGCATACTATAAAAATTCCTCTGGATAATCCAAATGAGTTACTCTCACTTGCCAAGAAATTTCAAAAACATTAACAACTGAGCCAGCTGATTTTTCCAAACAAGAGGGGAATAATGTGTCATTAACTTCAACAGAATATGATTGATGAAAATAACACAAGTATATTAACTCTCAGTTTTGATGAATTTTGCATTCTTCAGGTATTTTTCTCCCTGGAAGCAATTTGTAAAATGTGTAACTGGTTTTGATCCATGCAAGATTTATTCTTCCTATAAGTAAACATCAAAATTGGGGATAAAGTACATTATTAAATTAGCCTACAAGTTCTCTGTAACAATATTTTTCTCTGGTCTAGGGAAACATAGCTGATGTATGTGGGAATATAAATTTGGGGAGTTGTCAGGATAAAGAAGGTAAAGATGCTATCAAAAGGACATGGGAATCAAGCTCAATGAATCTTTATTGGCCAATGCTGGAAAGTTTAATCAGGAAAATAAATTACAATACCAGATTATAAACCAAAAAATTTTTAATAATCCATGTGTGCATACTGAAATAAATGAATGCTTGAATTAATAACTTTTCCTTATCAAATAATTCCAGAGAATACATATAGATTCCAACCCTGCCAGCAGCTGGAGCTTAGTTCCTCTCCCCTTGAATGTAAACTATAGTAAGTCACTAACGTCTAACCACTAGAGTACTGAAAAGAAAAAGAAATAAAATGTACTTTGCAATGGAAAAACCTAGCAAACATAAACTTAACCAAATGATCAAGGTAAGCACTCCTGTTTACCAAGTACTCCTCTATACATGATGAGAAAGACCCTCTATATATGTAGTATTCTGCCACAAAACACACCACCTCATTCTGATCATAAGAAAAATATAAGCTTAAATCACAATGGATCTAGAAATACCTGACAATTGTATTTCAAAACTACCAAGGTCGCAAAAAACAAGGGAAGGCTAAGAAACTTATACTCTGGAGAAGACATAACTGCTCAATATTATTGTGGTGGGGCTGGGGATTCAGCTCAGCAGCACAGCACCTGCCTGGCAAGTGTGAGGTCGTGAGTTCGATTTCCAGTACCAGAAAAAAAAAAACAAAAACAAACAAACAAACAATATTATTGTGGTACAGTATTCTGGGTTGGTTCCTGGAAAATAGAATAGGAATTACTGGAAAAACTGTTCAAACTGAAATAAAATTTGTAGTGTATTAAATATGTAGTATTGTACCATTGATAATTTAAGTTTTAACAGTTGAAACATGTATAAGATATTAACCTGGGGAAGCTTGACAAAATTAACCAGAAATATTTGTTGCAAAATTATGTAGCTTATTCCAAAATTTAAAAATTTTAATTACTCAGACTAGAACACAACATATAGAAACAGGTATGATTTAACAAAATATTTCTCTAAGGAAGCTTAAAAAATTGGCAAGATGGCAAGATAGACGCAAGCAGCACTCACCTGCTCCTCCCCAAAGAACCAAAGTAACAGGTGTTTAATTGCACAGCAAGGTCAGCCACCCTTGGAGAACATTAGAATTCAATAAGAAAAATTAAAAGCTTATAAAATCCAGAGAACTTCAATAGCAGCATAGGAAGAGAAACGAAATATCCCAGTGCCTGCCCTGTCAGGAGAGAGGGCGTCTCCACTCTGTGGGGACAAAGATGAAAGACTGGGTCACAGCAAACTCTGTCAGGGAAGACACTGCCAACCCTACGTAATGGATAATTTCACAACCTTTACGGACTTTCACCTAAATAGATAAGAAACCAGAAATATGATCTGAAGTCTAGCCTTGGAAAATGAATTCACTTTACATTCCAGAGACACCCCAGGTTACTATAGCCAAAGCCACCTTGAACAGGGGTCTATTGTCTGAATCTGGACTATGCTAGGGCACAGAAGTGCTACAAGAAATGACACAGGGAGGGTCAATGATCTAGGGAGAGAAAGAATTTACCAAGACTGGAGTAAGGAAAGAGATCTGTCATACACTGCCAGCGTAAACAGTGGGCAAGTTCGTAGAGAAAGCACCAGGAACAGGGGCAGTACTGTGTGTAAAGGGCAAAGGGAGTAGCCCGCACCCAAGCGCATGCCTCTGGTATAAAGCCAAACGGATACCAAAGGCTTCTCTCTGATTACCAACAGCTCCACATTTCCCTTCTATCCACAGAGTTGATTCTTGAACATTTAGATGAAGGTTTCTTTGTCAGTAGCTGCTTCTTCGAGAGTCACATTAGTTTACACTCATATTAGTGCAAGAAAGTCTTATGGTTTTGGTAGAGTCTTTGGTGACAGTTACCATTAGGTACTTATTGCTAAGATCCCTTTCTACAAACCCCCTGGCTCTTTTATCTTTTACTAGAGGTGATACAAGTGACTCCGTCACGACTTTATAACTCCCATGTTTTTTATGTTTTACCCCTTTTCCTTATGAGAGTTTTTCTGAAAGCTCTGCTGATCAACTGTTCTTGCTGATTTTTTTTACTGTCCCTCATTTGAGGATGCTGTTAAAATTTATAGTCTTATCTAGTTCCATGTTGAACAGGAAATGATTAACAACTCGATGTTACAGCCCCCTTTTGAGCCATAGTTGAACAATGAAGAGGTTTTAAAGTAGGAGTTTTAATGAGTCTTTGGTTGACCAGTATTGCATGTCTATATCTGTTTTCATGAGAAGCCACTTTGAAGATATCAATATATAATACAACCACCATTGTTAATTCCCTACCACTTTGTTTGTAACTCTGTATTGTCTGTATTGTGCTTGTGATATGTTGTAAAATGTTGTATGTCTGTTAATGTTTCCCTCCTTTTATCTTTAAAATAAAAAAAATTAAAAAAATAAAATAAAGTAGGAGTTTTAGGTTACACCTACTTAGTTCCTTTTTAAATTTAATTTTAATGTTTTGTAAGTGATGGCTAATATTTCAAAACATCAAACCAGATGTCTTTGTTAGGAGCTGTACTTGTGTAGAATTTTAAGGGACAACAGTTACAGAGTTTTAAAAGGAATTATAAACACAAAACCAACCAGACTAAAACAAATGTAGTATAACATTTTTGAACCAAAAAACAAATTTTTACCTATTTTTACCGAAAGTAACAGAAGAAAGAGCAAAGTTGTCTTTTCCATGAATCTGATTGTAAATGTTTTAGAGAAGAATAAGAACTGTAAATAATAAAACACTTAGATGAGGCAGGTTTTATTTTATATAGATTTTAAGATAACAATTACAATTAACAGCATTATATCAAAACCAAGGGCTCTCTTTTGCACAGATGTGTTTGTGGGGTGACTAATAGACAATCCTTCTGATTATTAGTGGCACAGTCTTTAACAATTTCATGTAGGTTAACTCACTGACAAAAACCCAGCTGGGTCTGGTGGGGCATGACTATAATTCCTGCACTTGCAGGGCTGATGCAGGAAGATTGCTGAGAGTTCAAGGCCAGCCTGGGCTACCTAGTGAGTTCAAGGCTAGCCCAAAATACCTAGTGAGACCCTGTCTCAAAAAAACAAAAACAAACAAATAAAAAAATCTAAAGGGAGCCTTATACTTTTAACAAGTTTGGGAAATCATGTTAATAACCACAAATAAACTTACTACTTGATGGATTAGTAAACTTACTTAGTCAAAACAAAAAAGACATAAACTAGGTTTCAGATGACAAGACAGTCTAAGTGGAAGACTTGTGTTTTGAGTGATCAAAAAGTAACAACAGTGTAAAACACGGAAAAGTATCTTGAAAAATTATATCCATTGGCAGGAGCAGAAGCTGATTCTATGCTATATCTACTGTCAATAGTGCTGCAGTAATCATGGATATGCAGTTGTCTCTCTGTATGCTGATTTCATTCCCTTCTGCTATACACCCAGAAGTGGAAAAGTTGGATCATATGATAGTTCTATTAATAGTTTTTAAGGAACCTTTGGAAGTTCTTGAACTGTGAGGGTTAATCTCCCTACTCTCTGCTGCAGTAAAGATAATTTACTGCTCAAGGTTACTTGGAAGTCTTTTATTCAGTTACTCTTAATAATTGGAATAGTAACATCTGTGAGTTAACTCTGAGATCAAAGGAAAAAATGCATTAAGTGTGTCTTAAAATACAAGTGGGAAGCCAGGCATAGTGGCACATGCCTGTAATCCCAGCACTTGGGAGGCTGAGGCAGGAGTATTGCTGAAAGTTCAAGGCCAGCTTGGGCTACAAAGTGAGTTCAAGTCTAGCCTGAATTGCATAATGAAACCTTGTCTCAAGAAGACAAAAAAGCAGTGTCCATGACACTTGTGATAAGAACAGAAGCACTAAGTAGGACAGTGGAGGAAATCTAAAGAAAGTTATAGGCCTGAGGATATATTTTTGGTTTGAAACAATTTTTGTAATGTAACAAAACAGTGTCCTGAAGTAAATTGACTAGATGAATACAAAAAGAAAAAGGAAAGATAAGGACAAGGAAAGAAGGTGACGTGAAGTCAACAAAAATTGTAGAGAAGGAAACAGATTTGTATATGTAAGCTGGTGTTTTAGTTTGGGGTTTGCAAGGAAAACAAGACAGGATACACAATTATAGGATTATTTTATAATAACCACTCAAAGAGTCATATACAAAGAGAGTGCAGGAAATCTGTCCACACACTAAAGACCAAAAGAATCCAGTTGAGGGCCTGGATCCCATGGCAATGTCCTGTATGATCCAGCTGAAGACATAGAGCCCATGACAATGCTCCCCACAGTCCAACTGGAGGCCAAGAGCTCACAACAATGCCTCATGCAGGCCTATTTCAAGGATCTGCACTAAGGAGCCCCAAGGTCAGTGGTGGAACCTAGAAAGTCCGTACCAGAGGGATGAAGGATCTGTGCCAGCAGCCTGGGGGTTCAGCATAGGAGCCATGAAAAAAACAATGCTCAGAAGAAGAACCAGGGCTCCCCTGAAAAGTACCACAGTCATCCTCAGCAACAGTGAGGTTCTAAGCTCCTTCGATGATGAAAAGAGCTGAGTACATATCAGGAAACCAGTATGACAAGCTTCTCCAGGACACTGAACAGTGTTCCATCTTCCCCTCTGGAGCCAGGAAGTGATGCTCAAAATAAGGACCAGAATTCCCCCAAAGTGAACCATAATCATTCTTAGTGGCAACAAAATCCTGAGCTCCTCCAGAGATGAGAACAGCTGAGTTCATCAGGAAAGCCAGCATGACAAGCTCCTCCAGGAGAATCAACAGCTCCAGGAGAACCAATAGCCCCTAACAGCACCTTCTCCAGTTCTCATTTTTATGTTGCTGGCAACAATCCTTGGATGAGTCTCCCATACCCAGCACCATGCTGATTCAGTTCAGCTGAGTGGTACAAGTTGACCACCAGTTGTCACCCACCACAGTTGGTTATAATTAAAATTATTTAAAGAGTTTTGTAAATCAAACTTCAATACACTAATATAAAACTAGAATCTAATCCTTTATGTATAACATCGATTTAGTAATATTTCTATAAACTGGGCTAGACAGCCTAAGTCCCTGCCAACAGATACAAAAGTAAGGAAGTTATGGTATATCTACACAACGGAGTATTAATGAACCACAAAAAAAGAATGCAATGCCCTCATTTGCAGCAAAAGATGGAGTACATCATGTTAAGTGAAATGAGACTGAAGCTGAAAACCAACCCCAACACATTCCTAGAGACAAGTATTTTGCTGGTACCAAAAGCAGAGAAAGACCCAACCAAAAAAGAGAACAATAGGCCAGTTTCCTTAATGAATATAGATGCAAAAATTCTCAATAAAATACTAGGAAAAAGAATGCAACTAATTATCAAGAAAAGCATACACCAAGACCAAGTGAGACTCATTCCAGGAATTCAAGGATGGTTCAATATATGCAAATCAATTAATGTAATACACCATATCAACAGAACCAAAGATAAAAACCACATGATCATCTCAATTGATGCAGAAAAAGCTTTTGATGAAGTCCAGTACTTATTCATGATAAAAACCCTACAGAAAATTGTCATAGAAGAACTGTGCCTCAATCTGATAAAAGCCATCTATGACAAACCAACAGCTAATGTCATTCTAAGTGGTCAAAAACTGAAAGCTTTCACTTTAAAATCAGGAACAAGACAAGGATGTCCACCATCACCATTCCTATTCAGTATAGTTCTGGAAATATTAGCTAGAGCAATTAGACAAGAGAGAGAAATAAAAGGATTAAGGAAAAGAAAGGAAGAAGTGAAATTATCATTATTTGCAGATGACATGATACACTACATAGAAGACCCCAAAAACTCCACCAAAGGCTCATGGATTTAATAACCAAATTCAGTAGCATAGCTGGATACAAAGTTAACACTCAAAAGTCAAGAGCATTCCTGTACACAAGCAACAAACAGACTGAGAGAGAAATTGGGGAAACCACACCTTTCACAATAGCATCTAAAAAGATGAAATACTTAGGAATTATTCTAACAAAACAAGTAAAAGATCTATACAGTGAAAATTATAGTGTTCTGAGAAAAAAGACTGAAGAAGATATCAGAAAATGGAAAGATATTTCTTCCTCATGGATAGGAAGAATCAACATTGTGAAAATGGCCATACTCCCAAAACTGTTGTACAGATTCAATGCAATCTCAATTA